GAGAGTTTCACTTCTTCTTTTCCTATCTGGATTCCTTTTACTTCTTTTTCTGCCCTGATTGCTGTGGCCAAAACTTCCAAAACTATGTTGAATAGTAGTGGTGAGAGTGGGCACCCTTGTCTTATTCCTGATTTCAGGGGAAATGCTTTCAATTTTTCACCATTGAGGGGATACACCCATCATTTAAAAGTGGACATTTAATTTCCAAATGCACGGGATTTTTAAAAAATATCTTTGATATTAATTTATTCATTTTGATACTGATTTCTCATTTAAATATATCTTCTATGCAGTCACCCTGTGTGTTTTTTCAGTCTTCTAACTTTATTGAGGTTTTCAATGGCTGAGTCAAAGATCTTTCTTGGTAAATGTCACATTGCACTTGAAATATGTGGGTTATTTTCAAATACAATTTCTAATATAATTCTACAATGATAAGGGAACAAACTCTGTACGATTTCAGTACCTTTAGACCATGAAATTTTTGCACCTTGTTTTATCTCCCTGTATATGTTCCAGTGTCTCCCAGTTTATATTTTATGAGACCTTGAATAGAATTTGTATGAAAATTGTATAAATCTTAGTTATACTGAATTGATTCATAGTGCTTTGCAGATCTACTGTATCCTCCTACTTTTCTGTATAGTCATTCTAGTAATTTTTGAGAGTTTGATATTGAAACTCCAACTAAAAATCTTAACTTATTTACTTAAAAATACAGTTGTAATATATAGAGGAATTATATGTAACTTTGTTCTATACTTCCTCACTCTCCTGTAAATATGTTATCATACCACCATAGTTTAAAAAATTTAAAAATTATTTAGAAAAAAAGAAAAATAGAGGATGGTAAGAATTATGGGAAGATGTTTCTAACCATAAGTGAATAAAGAGTCCAGGGTTGTCAAGTCTTTCTTGTTTTCAAAAAAAGTTGAGAATCACGATTTTTATGTAAATTGTCTGAATTTTTCGCACAACTCAGACTTAACATGACTGCCAATTTTAAACTTTTGGCTAAAAGAGAAATATACATTATTTTCCTGGCTACTACATAATTTGCAAGGCTTATTCTTTTACCAATCAGTTATTTTCTTTACAGTACAGAAAATAATGTAGCTTTTTAGAAGAGACTTTTTCCACTGCAGGGTTTGGAAACTGAAAATGGGAAGTGTGTGCTGGCCTGCCCTAAGTTAGAAAGAGATACATTACATGCCTTCTTTTAGTTGCAAAAGTCTTAGGTAAGATTCTGAAATGACTACTTGCAAAGATATTTAAACTGTTAGCAAATGGCCTTTTTTTACTTGAAAGTTGTTTTTTCTAAGTAATTAAACTTTTTTTATTTTCAATGTTTGAAATATGAAAACACATATAATAAATGCATTGTTTTAGAACTATTTCTGTGTTGAGATTTTTTTAAAATATATTACCTAATTCTGTTGTCTACATTGTTTTAAATATAGAGCTTTTGAAGAAAAACGAAAAGAACAAGAAGAAAGAGAACACCAAATCAGAGAACAGATACTTCAACAACGAAAACAGAAGGTGGAAGAAGTTACTGAAAAATTCCAGCGTGCCCATATTCCTTTTTCACAGCGGAAGAGAACAGGTGCCTTAATTTCTAGAGCAATATGAAAACAAAAATGAAAGTTGTAATCACATTCAACTTGAGTAGACAATAAAATAAATTAAGAAACAAAGTGGAAATTCAGCCTATACATTTTGAATAATAGGACTTTTGCCAAATGAAAAATTGCAATTTGATATAGGTTTTGAAGAATTAATATTTTTTTGGGTCTGTTGGTAAATTTGAAAAGCATACAAGTTTGATTGTACTTCATACTGGCTTGCAATGTGCTGTCTTTCTAAAAGTGATTTAGTAAATAGCTTAACATTAAAAGACAATTTAACATTTAGATTTAATAAGTTACTATCAGATTTATTTTGGCATTTTGTCCACATTTTTGTTCAAACTCACATTGAGAGGCCAGCAAAATAAAGAGATCCATAAAGAGGGTGCATAATCCAACAATCTAAGACTGGAGCCAGTTAAAAATTTTAAAATGATTATGTTTGATTCTTCAGTATCACATCTATATTTTTAGGCCTTAAGTAGTAACACAGAATTAGCAACAAAATGTCAAAGCTTCAGAAAGAAAAAGGACAAGCGGAACCTTTGTGTATTTAGCAAACACATGTTGTGCTGCTATACTGTACACGGGTCTGGGGTAAGCCAAGATGCCAAGATACAGAAAAATCTAATTGTACTCTACCGTTAAAGACTCTACAGTTTATTTTGGAGATGAGAGTAATATAAACAAGTAACGTCAATAAATCTAATTGCTGTGGTAGCAGAATGTGTAAAGTACTGTGAAGTACAAAGAATACTGGACATATATAGGAACTTGCAGGATATCATCCCTGAAAAAATGACTTAATTTGAATCTTAAAGAATAAGCATTTTGCCAAGCAAAGAGGCAATTTTAAAAATCCCAGACATAAGGAACAACTTTTGCAAGTAAATTATGAATTGCAAATCCAAAGTGTATCCAAAGCATAGGATGGGAAAAAAAGAAAAGAAAATGGATACAAGACTAGAAAAATGAACTGGGACAATTCTCTAAGAAATTTGGATGCCATGCTAGGAATCTCGTCTTTATCCAGTATGCAGTCCACTTAAAGTTTTTTAACTGGAAAGCAAGCCATTACTGTGTCAATAAGAGAGCTTACTGAAAGTAAGAGCAACTGGTAAAACTGCTAAAATTAATACAGCTTAAACATGATAAAGGTTGCTTTTCCTCTTGTATAATGTGAAATACTCAGGTAGGCAGTCGGGAGCTGGTCTGAAGATTATGCAATGCCACAGGGAACCCAGGCTCCTGTCTCACAGTTCAGCCACCCTTAGTATATGATTTATAGCTTCACCTTCAGTGGTCATATGGTAACAGCTAGAGCTCCAGACGTCATGGCAGGGTTGTCAGTGTTGTAGACGGGAAGGAAGAAATACATAAAGTACAGAAGGACATACCTCTGAACTCCTGTTAAATTATTTTCCTAGAAGCCCCCCTCTATCTGCTTATATTAATATCTAATTGGCAACTCCATCTGCAAGGGAGACTGGAAAATATAGGGGTTTTTAACTGAAGTATTGATTTACTTTTTTTCAATATTCTAGAATTTTATTTTCAACAGTAAATAGTTTCTTTAAACACATACATAACACACACAGAATAAAATCCTTGTTTACCATTTTAGTATCTTTATTATGACTATATTGCCACCCCTAACAATATAGAGTGTGTTAGCCAGGAACAAGGACTTCCCAGGTAGCACAGTGGTAAAGAATCTGTCTACCAGTGCAGGAGATGCAGGAAACCTCAGTTCAATCCCTGGGTCAGAAAGATCCCCTTGAGTAGGAAATGGGAACCCACTCCAGTATTCTTGCCTAGAAAATTCCATGGACAGAGGAGCCTAGCAAGCTACAGTCCATGAGGTTACAAAAGAGTCAGACACAACTGAGCTTGCATGCACATCATCATTATGTACCAAAGAACAAAGGGGAAAATGGATATTAAGTAGGAAACTAGGGGTCTTTACTAAAAATTAGAGTTGTTTGTTAGAAAGATAATTCTCAGTACAACGTGGAAGCTGAATTGAAGTAGAGATATATTAAAGTAGACTAATAGTAGACTATTTCATTATTTGTAGCAAGAAGTATTAAGCTGCTAAATTAAAGCACTCTATTTAGAGATAGGAGGTAATATATTCAGGATATATAATCAATAGATTGAGTTACTAATTTATCAAGAGTGCTGGATCAAAGACTAGGAGAACAGTGCCCCTAGGACTTGGCAGAGAACCTTACAAATATTTAGCACTTGATAACTACTTTGTTAATGAATTAATTATTTTCCTGGATGATGATATTAATCAAGATTACAAATAAAGGAAAAGAATTAGGTTAGAGGTATGAAAGATCATTAAGTTTTAAATTCATTGATTTTGAGTCTTCCTTGATCCATGCAAATGAGGAAATCAAGTCAACAACTAGAAAAATCTAACTGAAACTTAAGAAAAAGATATAGAATAGAAATTGTATTTGAGTCACCAATGAAAAGATACGTAGTTGGTAAAGGAAGCCATGTGCAAAGATAAGGTGAATGTTAGATATAGAGTACAGATTGAAGATAGAGCCTAAAAATAAGACCTAAATGACTACCATTTATTATAGGTAGAAAAAAAACCTGAAAATGGATTTTGAGCAGTAGTTATCAGGAAAACAGAATGGGAAATAAAAGCAAATAAAGAAAATTGTATAAGAGCCAAAAGAAAAGGTAGTTTTTCTTAAGAAAGAGGATGTACTTGGTTGTGATAAATGCCTCAGAGTACTCACCCTCCTGGGTATCATTCACCCAGAAAGAGTGCTGACTACCCAAGGGCCTAGGTACAGAGAGTCAGAGTGTTAGTAAAAACAAACGGCATGTACATTCACTCAATAGAATATTATGCAGCTATTGAAAGAAGAAACAATTTACAGACTGATATGGAATGATGTCCAGCAGATGTAAATTTACCATGAAGTCAATAAGGTTCAAGTTTCAGGACCTCTCTCTGTCAGGGTCCCTACATCTAATTTTGTATTAGTAATTTTGCATTATTTTTTCTTAATTGGGCCCCCAAATTATATAAGCCTTATACTTTCATAAAACCTGGATCTGTCCCTGATTTCCAGGATTTGTTGTCGTTCGGTCATTGTATCCAACTCTTTGCAACCCAATGGACTGCAGCACACCAGGCTTCCCTGTCCTCCACTATCTCCCCGAGTTTGCTCAAACTCATGTCCATTGAGTCAGTGATGCCATCCAATCATCTCATCCTCTGTTTCCCCCTTCTTCTCTTGCCCTCAGTCTTTCCCATCATCAGGGATCTTTTCCAGTGAATCAGCTCTTCACATCAGGTGGCCACACTACTGGGGCTTTAGCATCAGTCCTTCCAATGAATATTCAGGGTTTATTTCCTTTAGGATTGACTGGTTGATCTCCTTGCAGTCCAAGGGACTCTCAAGAATCTTCTCCAGCACCACAGTTCAAAAGCATCAATTCTTCAGCACCCAGCCTTCTTTATGGTCCAGCTCTCACATCTATACATGACCACTGAAAAACCATGGCTTTGAGTAGATGGAGCTTTGTTGGCAAAATGATGTCTCTGCTTTTTAAAACACTTTCCAGGATATATTTATTATTAAGTATAAAAACAAGGTTCAGATAAGTATGCTTAATATTCTGACTTCTTTGTAAGAAAAGGAGGAAATTAGAATGTATGTTAAGGGAGATCAAGATGGTGGCATAGGAGGATATGGAACTCACCTCCCCAACAAACACATCAAAAATATATCTACATATGGAAAAGTTCTTGCTGAAAACTAACTGGAAACTGACAGAAAGACTCCTGTACAACCAAGGCTGAAAAAAAAAGATCTTCATAGAATAAGATAGGGAGGAAAGAGAAGCAGTCAGTGGAGGACCTATGTCCGGAGGGATACCCACAGGAAAAGGGAGATTACACAGACAGAAATCCTCTCTGGGGAGTGAATGGTTCAAGCCACATACTAGACCCCCCGTCCTGGTACCCAGCACAAGGGAGATGAGCCCCTAGGCTGACTGGAGGGCTGGTGGGACTAATAGGAGGGCTGCAAGAAGCCTGGACTCCACTTGGGAGGCGTGCGCACACACTTATTCCCAAAAGAGGGCAGAGAAGGCAGATTGAGACTGCACAGTTGACTGGCTGGTCTCCTGAAACTGCTTGGGAGTACACCCAGCCTGAGCTCCACACTGGAGAGAGGGTTGCCCCAGCCAAGGAAGAACTCAGCCAGGAGACACAGAGGTAGCTCAGAACCAAAGTGGCATCCTTTGGGCAAGGACAGCCATTATGGGCACTGGCACAGGCAGCACATCAGAAGCAGCCTAAACTCTCTGTGGCCAAACGGTTGCACCCTGCACCTGGTCACACACTAGGAGTTCATACTGGCCCCTCTTGCTCCAGCATGGCTCACCTCAGGGGCCAGAGTGCTGATGTTGGGAGAGAGAAAAGCTCACACCTGAGCTAGCTCAGACCTGCTCCTCAGAGCTTCTATTCCAGGAACTTGGGACCCAACCCTGGTAGGGTGGTGGTACTCCCTGATGACAGACGAAGGCCTAGCTCACTCTTGGCTCTGGCCCTAGCCTTTCCTCCCCAGCCCCAATCCTTCCAAAGTGATATGTATGGGAAGCATGCCCTGTGTGATATGAGAGCACAACTTGAGAAAAGATGTGACCTGCGTTCATGTCAAATCCAGCTATCCCACCAAAACTGTTGGACACACAGGCTGTATAGGGCTGCTCCCACAAAATAACACCCCTTCAAATAGAATTGGTAACTGTTTCACCTAATTTCATAGAGATGGAGACTGTTAAGCAAATTCAGAAAATAGAGGAACTGATCTCAATTGAAAGAGCAAGAGAAAAAAAAATGAAACAGAAATAGTTTACCAGAGGATTCAAAGCAAAATGATAATGCTTACTGAATTAAGGAAAATATATATAATGGAATATTCAGTTCAGTTCAGTCGCA